TACTCTACTATACTCATAGTATAGTATAGTATAGTATAGTATAGTATAGTATAGTATAGTATAGTATAGTATAGTATAGTATAGTATAGTATAGTATACTATACTATACTATACTATACTATACTATACTATACTATACTATACTATACTATACTATACTATACTATACTATACTATACTATACTAGGCGTAACTAGTGGACGATGCGGACTCCGATATAACTAGTATGATACCGTTGATATCTGTTTACTAATTACTTTACGAGCTCTGTTTCGCAGGTGCAATTTGGTCGGACGCTGTCTGTCGCGGTAATATTGTTTAATAATCGTCGCGGTCTGAGTTGATGTATAGCTAGCATTAACTCAGCCCGCGATTATCCTGATAATATCCGCCATCTAGCGTTACACACAATCCATCTCATCGAGCTCGTTATTAATAAATATATATATACATACATATATATATATATATATATATAATATATATATATATATATATCCCCGATAACACGAGAGTAAAGCGACCGACTACTGTCGGCGCGGCTCTATATATGATAATGATTTTTCTGCGGCAGGTTAGAGCTGTGACGTGTGAGCGTCGACAGACGTGACTATCTATATACGTCGCAATCGTTAACCCAGCGCTGCATGGCAGAGACCCGCCGATGGGTCACGGTCGTGTGCCGAATGTGTTTCGTCTCGTTCCATACCGACTGGCTCTGCACACACGCACGGACAAAATACCGACCTAAAGCCGTTCTCCGTAAATTGAGTTGCATTCCGTCCAGATTTCTCTGCTGCTAACTACCGGCGCACACGGCGAACGTCACCGAAGAACGGATATAAACAACTCAAGATATTGTCGCCGTTATGAGATATGGACTCAGAAAACTCATATGTGCCCCCTATATAATGCAGTATTACGTCTGATTTACGAATAATACGTGTGCAATTCCACTAAACCTGGCGATAGCAAACAAAAAACAAACAATCAATGCGTATCTAGACGACGCATACGCACTCGCCCGGGGATTGTCTGTCAGAACAAGCCATCACTGCGCTCTCCGCTTTTTACGTCGGTCGAGCAAGCACCTTGCAAGAATGGGTGATTGAGGATTTTTCTCAGAAAGCTCATGCACATATTGCACGGCACAATAAGCTTCTACGAGCAGTGGCAATATGGAGTGAGCATGCGCACTCGTACAAAAATTACTAAAGCAAGGGGCAAGGGAAAGGGTGACGAAGGGCGGAAAAGAGGGAACGTGGAGGAGGAAGAATGAGAGAGAGAGATTGAGTAAGTAAGAAAGTAAGCGAGAGGGAGGGTGGGAGAGAAAGAAAGAAAGAAAGAGACAGAGAGAAGAATGGTGAGAAGAGATGAGCTGCCTAGTTGCATGCGAAAACCTATTTGCCACGTAGCAGGATGTTATTCTCACAAACTTATCGTATTGTATTGCAAAAAAATCAACTCTTGATTTGATGCTTGTTGCTTCATTGACCACCCATATCCGCCAGTTCTCTTCACAAACAATTATTATCAACACTTCATTCGTCGTCGTCGTTAGTATATACCATAATATATTTTTGCCGCCCACTAACCAATAATCGTTAATGTTCTCCATTCGCCACGCGACAATCTATTTCGGTGATGCTGTGGGAATAGCAGAGCGCGCCTAGCCGGGACAGCTTTCCCCCTGCGGATTTCGGATTACACGAGCGCCCTCTATTATAATATTGCTCTTGCGCCCATCCGCGTCTCCCGCCAGGAATTGCAGAGCAGTCGGCAAGCGTCAAGAAAATATGGTGCGATATGAGCACTTCACTTTCAATATAGGTGCCGGCGCGGTAGGCGCTGTCGCTGTGGGGGCGTAGGCGTGATGCATCATCTACCTCGTTTACGGACAGCAACCCCCCCCCTCCTTAATTATTATCGTTTAAACATGGTAAAACAATGTGGTGATTAAACAGGGTATAGGTGTGTCTGAGTTTTCTATATCCAGGAAGAAAATCGATACTAGTACGCGTGGTAGCGTGATAGTTAAGTGGGCTATTATGTATATGCAGAACTATATGTTTATTATTTCATTATATTACTCCATCTATAATTATCAGGAGTATATATATATATATATATATCAAGAGCTAATAATACTAGAGAGAGAGAGGCAGAGAGATATACGGGGCTATTAATGCGGGTGACCGGACGCCTAGCGCGCGGCAACGTGTCGCTAAGTATCAGTAATGAACGCCCCTCGAAGCAGGCCCCGGTAATAATGTCACTAGCTAACGATTTTCGCCACATCCGGGCATTTCCTTACATTGCCTTGACGACGGACGTTAACTGCGCGCATTAGGGCAAACGCTGTATGCAGCGCCCTCTATACCCAGCGAAATAGACCAAAGAAAGTCCGACTGAAGCCTGCTATCGATTTCGCTTTTTCTGTTATGATCCATTTCAGGGCTTTCTATCAAAACAATGGGGCGAGTTTACCACAGCTGAGAGAAAAAATGAAACGGTAACCATGAGAGAGAAGGTGTTCATTTTCGCCGCGTCACGACGCAATGACGCGAGCAGGCATCGCGGTGCCATGGAGAAGTCGCTTTTCGCGGGTTGATAACAGCAACTACTCTGGCCGTGATATATGAGTGACAACAAAAACGCATAACGCTTGCCTAGGCGATCACTGGAAAATATAAGACGCGTCAAAACTAGCGTGAGTGCAGCCAACACAGACCAGCCCGATAACGCGCTTAACGTTAAGCAAAACAGCTCTATTCAACAACTAATTATTGCACATATTGTAAATGAGTTACGGTAAAAAAATTCCCAATTTCGTATAATAACTACTGCCCACGCTAGCGCGATACACTACGCGCGATCAAACCTCGCCCACCCTTCCCAAGGAGCGTAGCGAGAATATATAGACATACTGCTTCTAGAGAAACAACAATAATGAACCATCCCACGTTTGTCAATTAGAACGAGAAATGGAGAAGCTCAACCGTACAGGAGGAGTAAAGACCAATCCCTCGGTGACCCTACATAGATACGGAAACAGGAGCGCGCAGTGTTTGATGCATGCTCAGTGCTACATTGCAGTGACGATTCGAGACTGAGAGGCCGCCGCACATGTGTGATCATATCACGTTATCGTTGGGTCACCGTGTGAGCAGGTACTGATTGATTTTCCACGGCGCAGGTGTGTTTATTTGCATTGTGTATGCTAAAGTGTGCGGTGCGCGCTCGGGGCGTCGCGCTAGCTTCTCCTGTTTTTCCCCCGCACATCGATCTGGGTCTTCATGTGTAAGCCGCCTAATATCTAATTCAATACCGTCGCTGATTATTAAGTGCGTTCTCGCATAGCCCGCTGACTCAATGGCCGACGCCTGCCACGGTTGTCGCTGGCGCTCTACCGCTACAGGGAGAGATGACTATAGGAATAGTGACCCAGAGTCGCGTTAAGCTCGAAACGTAAAGGAATAATTTTAGAAAGCGCGTCCGACTTTCGCGAACGCCACGTCAGTAGAGGTTAGCGACGAAAAACGGCAAAAAAGTCGGCGCGAGATTCGTGCGCGGGTGAATTACCAGCGATAACCAGGGGCGGCGCCACAGGGGGGGGCAGGGGGGGCGGTCGCCCCCCCTATCATTTGCAAGAAAAAGGAAAGAAGAAGAAGAAAAAGAAAAAGAAAAGAAAAAAGAAAAAAAAGAAAAAGAAAAAGAAAAGGAAAAGAAGAAGAAGAAAAAGAAAAAGAAACATCTTGCAAATGTCTTGCAAATGATGGGTGGGGTGGGGGGTCACCCCCCCCCCCATCATTTGCAAGAAAAGGTAAAGAAGAAGAAGATTCTTGCAAATAATAGGGGGATCGCCCAAAAATGAGTGATGTAGCCTACAAGCTGG